TTCACAAATGTTATTCATGTTAAGGTAGTCATTAGCCAGCTTCAATGAAAGATTGACAACAATGGCTTAGTGTAGCTGTACAAGCACTGGCTGTGAGGCTTAAATACATTACCATGGCTCACATTTAACATAAACATAAATTATATTTATAATATGATTCTGACTTAATTCACCCTTCATAAAGTCATTTAAAAGTATCCTGGCATCACCCCCAGGCCTACCTAACATGTGATGGATCCTTATATTCTGCACGCAGTCACATGCACACACAGCAGAAGACCTCATGATGTCCCAGCGCTGCTTCTCTCTGTGCTTTGCAAGTTTCATGTGAGCTCAATTTCCTTCAACTATTCTGTTTGGAGCATATTTTTTTTCAAGCTCCCATTCAGTCAAGAAAAAGGTTTCTCATAGTATTCTGTAACTTAAAATTGTGAAAAAAATAACTTTTTAAATACTGCTGACAGTTGATTCAAATTGTTTAGTACTTAAGACAGAATTAGCAAATTTGCATGTTCTACTATTTTGAGTACAAGTTCTACTATTATGAAAAGGAAGTGTGGTAAAAAAATTGTGCTTATGACTAAATTTGTAAACCTAAAGGCATTTCCATCAGCCTCAGATGTGCTTATTAGCTAATTTTAGCATGCTTACACACTAAACCAGTGCTTCTCAAACTGTTTGGTGGGCCCCGCTGGTGGGGCATAAAGCCACAGTAAAATCTGACGCAAATACCTTTTTAATTAGCTTTGGTTCCCCTATCACTGTTAATGACTTATAACAATTGTGGGGTTGGGGGTGGGAAAGAGGCTGGTTTAAGAACCACTGCACTAAACAAAGATATTCGCTTAACATTAGCATCTCAGCATTGACGTTGTGAGCATGTTAGCACACTGCTAGCACGACTATGGAAAGTAAGGGCAGTAAAAATATATTTGAAAAGAATGCTGAAGTTTGTAACATGCCATACTGTACTAGCAAATATCAAACAACAGTGATTCTGTCCTTTTGTATTTATAAGCTAAAGTTTAGTTATAACTCAACTATACTTGTATATTTAGATATACATCACCACACCATTTTAAATACTATATAAGGACTGACAGAACGCAACGGAACGCAATAAGATGCATGAAATGTGTATCATAGGATAATGATATGTGTTCATTTCTTATAATTCCAGATGCTTGAAAATTGAGCGTGATGTACCCACTTGTATGAAAGTATTACAAAAATTGTCTGTAGTGTGAAGAAATTATGTGAATGGTAGACATTAGAGGAGACAGTCAGAATGTGACTATGAGTTTTGTTGAATAGCCTTTTCTTTGCTTTTTCTTCCTCCTGGCGTCGTACAGCTGCTAGTTTGTGAACTGGATCTTCACTGTAAAACAAGAAGAGATGCAGATGAACAATCCTGTGTGTGTGAGGATGGGAATATACACCCCGACACGGATGCCAACAGTGTGAGAATCTGAGCTTCCTCTCCTGCCATGTTTGGACCTTCTTAATTAAGCAGATGTCGGCTGCTATCAAACTACTTACTTAATTGAGACTAATAATCTAATTTAATCAGATGAAATTTCAGGGGAAATAGAGCTATACGGTAAATTAGGAAATTAAGTTAACATTTACTGAGCGTTTACCCGTCATCAATAACAGCTTTGCACCATGTGATAGTTTGGCAACGTGTGATAGTTGAAGATCTGCCCTCCCAAAGCAAATATTTGGTGTTAAAATTAGACAGAAAGTAGGCTGGAAAGGGCAAGAGATAACTGAGCTATGCCCTGAAGACTGAATTTCAACTTTTCAGGACCTCTGACTGTAGAAATTTGACTCGACTTGGCCAGAGCAAACAGTTAAGTATTGCCTTGAAGGATCTTCTCCGTCAGCTAAAGAAACCTATTGACCGGTCTCAAGGAATTAATATGTTTTTTATGCTCTTTCAGGCTTCTTTAAGTGCTCTTGCTGTGCGATTAAGGATAGCAAAGAGAGTGTGTTTGAGAGAGACAGAGAGAGAGAGCGAGTCCTACCCTGTCTGAAAGTTGTAACTGTTGTAATTGGGTTCACATGAGCTGCTGGTGGGACTCATTTTAATCAACAAGTGCAGCTGTCTCTTCTCTGCTCCTTCCTACCAAACTGCCCACTCCAACCCACCTGACTAACCCCCCCCCCCCCCCCC